TGTTGTGCCCGCAGTCTCCGAAGGCAAGATCTTGGTGGCAGCCATTCATTGGGCAGAGTATGCCCCGCTTAGATTCCAAAGATTTCTTCACGATCTCATGCCGTCCTTTACTCGGACCAACGTATATGCCTGCATGATATAGCAATCGATTGTGAGTTCTTGGTGGCAGCCATTCATTGGGCAGAGTAGGCCCCGCTTAGATTCCAAAGATTTCTTCACGATCTCATGCCGTCCTTTACTCGGACCAACGTATATGCCTGCATGATATAGCAATCGATTGTGAGAGGCAGGTCGAGATACGATGTCGCCCAGTTGAAGCTCCTTCACGAACTCGTCATGTTGTTCTTTCGCGAACTTCTTGGGTTTGGCCTTCTTCACTCCGTCTGTGTCCATATCCATTGCTACTGTAATGAGAGGGAAAAATATATCGGTGCTCTCGAACACACAGCAGCGTCATGAATGAATTCGCGAAACAGTGCATCAACAAAGAAAGAGAAAATCTCTTTAAGACGATTTGAAATAATGCTAAACATCCTGCATGTTACGAATTTCACGTTTTCTTTCGTGCTATCAAATTTTACATTTTCAGCGGCCTAGATGAAAGAAGTCTACTGACACTTTTCTGAAGCATCTACTAGGGAATGGATTCCATGGTGGTTAGAAAATTCATCAATGCATTTGTCTCAATCGTAATACCCCTTCAGTTGAAAAACTACTTTGTAGCACTGTGAAAATTATTCATAGAAGCGATCTTTAAGTCAACAAATAAGGTGAAATATTGCTAGTCATCATCGTCAAACGTTTTTAATGAGAAAAGTAATCTTCCCTCCATCTGTCTGAAAGGGGACTCCAAGTGTTATAAGGGGGACTTTTTACACGGCCCCGCGGGAATGCCCGCATCAAGGTGCGAACATCCCCTGAGTAGAGCGAGGGTTGGTGGGCAAGACGAACAATTCCTCTCTTTCTCTTTCTCGAGAATGGATCATACATCGCAAACGGGGGGAGGAAAGCTCTTGCTAGAGAGAGCGAGGCAGACACTCAAGGCCAGGCAGAGGAAGGCGCCGCGCATGCGCACACAATACTTGCGGGCATACAGACGCTTAAGCATAATATACGGGGTGTTGGTATTTAAGCACAACTTTGGGAATATATTGATATATATATGGAATAGGGCTTCATAGGTGTCGGATTTGGTCCAGCAAGTTCAATTAGGAAACTTTAGCTTCCAAAATTAAAACTAATGGAGATTCATGATTCTACTAAAATATTCTCTTCACAATTCCATGGACATGAAGACAAAATAAAAGAGAATAATTTCAATATAAGGAACACCAAAGAGCACAACGAAAGGAACACTGGGAAAATGTCACATGTCAAGGAGAAACACTCCTGGAGAAGGTAAAATGAAACAAATGAGCTCCATAGATGTTGACAAGGATATAAATCTCCACCCCCCCCCCCTTAATCCTGGTACATTCAGCATGTTACTCTCTGCCGTCCCGACTCCCACTCTCTCTCACTTTCTTCTCCCTACGTACTCAATCTCCATCAGGTTTGGAGGTTTGAATGTAACTGGATTCTTCATTGGATAACTATTATTGCATTGGAGGCTGCTACTGGATGTCACTTGATGGTTATACTGACATTGCATGCATGGTACGTATCATTTATAATGGCTCCTTCCCTCTCGGAACTGCTTGAAGTTATTATCAGGGTGTCAAAACACACTATCTGGAAACTGGGCTGCACGATTTGTAGACAAGAGATTACACAGTTTCGTGAAGTGTGACATGATACGGAAAAGGTAAGATAGTTTCTCATGAGTGTAGAAGAGCAAGATAGAGGTGATTTCCTTTTATGGTCTACGGGTGGGTCGATGAGGTTTTGGGCCTAAACCGATTAGAATGATTTCTCCGACATCCTGCATAGAGCTCGTGAATGCGACATCTTGGATCCAAGGCCCTATCGCAGTGAGTCCAAAGTCGCTCATGGATTCTGGGCCTGTTGCATGGGTAAATAAGTCGGTGACGAGGTCAAGGAATGGTCTTTGTACGCTTTGTATTCTTCAGTTCCGTAATGCGAGGTCCTCGCCTGATGAGATGTATGGCAAAGTGCTAGAAGAGGGAGCTCGAGCTGTCGCCGGAGAAGCCATGCAAGAGAAACAATGAGGATTTCGTGGAGTGTGCACTGGAATTGTGCTAGAGGATTGAGGAGAAATCTCTCCCTCTCTTCCAACGCAGTCCTCCTAGCGGTCATTCGCTACCCATCCCTCACATGGAGGGATATTGGATGTTCTACATGCGCGATGACAGGAATGAGCCATGGGTTGGAGCGAGGGCCAGAACACCCGATTTTGTACGAACTTAAATAACATTTGAAACGAAATTCCTCAGTGATCAATGGAAAATATCACTTTCTACGTTTTCGTGAACATTTCCTGGCTCTATCCATTTATTACTGGCGTTCTTCCAGTCGTTCCCTCTTGATAATCCGAACTTCCCTTTCTACTTCATGGAAATACTGTGCAATATTACTCTGAAAGATAGGAGTCGCAAAAGTAAAATTACACTTACGAAAATGAGCTATTTTTGGCTGAATTCCATGTATTCCTCTGTTTTGGACCCGGTTCAGTACTTGCGGCATTGATTCATGTTATGCAACTTGGAAATACAGTATTGTCAATGATATGATGATAACAAACCATTTTATCCAACCTATGCATAGCAGCTGATTCAGGAATTCCCTGTTTCAATTCTTTTCAGGAAATATTCGAGAATAACCTATGACGAAACTCAAATCACAAATTCGAAGTTAACCTTCATTTCTGTAATTTATTTAGCCTATCTTGAATATGGTAATAAGAAAAAAGCACAAATGAACAATAATGCCATCTCACACGGGTTTTTGCTCACCCAACGATGAATGAAATGGCGCTTGGACGCTTGGAGGCACTTCCAGGCGTAGCTCCAGGCGTGGTGCTAGGGTCTGAAGCAATATGGAAGCGCAAGGAGATCCTGCGTCTCCCCATTCAAGGGCAATGAATGCTATCTTATCTGAAGATTGAGATGCATACATGGTCTTTGCCTGATGTTATAGCAATGCTTCATCCACGTATTCTCCTTCCAATGGTTTAGATGAATTATGAATTATCAATGGCATCACTCTATCAATGAAGTATCAATGCGGATAGTGAGTTCTCTGTTCATTAAAAGTATTCGTGTCACACCAGCACATTCATGTATGTAGTAATGTGAAAACCAATTTTCAATGGTTTAACCTTTCTTCATCCTTAACCCGAGCCCAACCTCAATCTCAACTTCAACATCACCTTCCCCCTTCTCTACGGAACTCACTAACGTTAGGCTTAGGTCTAACCAACGGACTGTCTCAGGGTCAGGTCAAGCCCTACCTTTTTTGTTCAAAAGAAACTCAATCCTCGACCTACGGACCAATTAGGCCTAAATGATTAATCCTTAGTCTTCGAGGCACCTCGTTGAGGACGTGTAACGTTAGATCTAATGTAGGTCTTTTTCGAGTTTCATGAGCTAATTCGGTGCAGTTGGGGAACATTAAGCCTATCCAGAGTTCTTTGGTCTGTCTGGCCTCTGTGTAGAGAGAGGAAGAAGTGTGCAAAATTTCATTCGTGTTGATTCTCTCAGATAGAAGTCCGAGACGGTTGAAATTTATCGCCGTAAGAGGTGCAAAAAAGGTTATGGGAGAAGAAGAAGAAAGCGGAGTTTACCAGATATATAGGGTGATTCAAAAAGTCAAAAACTTTTTTCGGTGTCATACATGACATCAATCGATTCGTCTGCTCCTCCTGAGCAATTTGGTGTAATATTAGTGTGAGGCGATAGATACATCGGAAGAAATGACCGAGAAAGAGACACAATTAACGTAACATATCTTGGGTCACTCCACGCCGAATCGACCAGAGGATGAGCTCAACCATCTTCGATTTTGACTAAATTCGGTTTGCATGCAGAGGAATTGATATTGAGAAAATAAATTCCAGAGGCTTTTTATTATCTCTCTCCTATCTCCGAGATATATGCATTTGAGTGTCACCTATTTTTTACTCCTGGCGCCAATATGGACTGGAATTGTGAGACTATTTTGCAATAACTTCTTTCTGTTTAAGATAGAAGCTTCGTTATGGTGTCATTTTAATTGTGAAACTGCTGTCTTTAGATTGTTCTACGACATTATTCTCCGAAGCCAAAACAAGAAATTCCACTTAATCAAACAATTTGCTTAAGTTCAGTGGCTGATATCTACTCTTTCCATGGTTGGAACTCGTGGTTCCAATACCAAGTTCTAAGTGTTTTTTTTTATGCCCTTTCTAACGATACCAAATTAGATATTAACACGCAATTGCCTCATGAGTTATAATTAGTTGACGGAAGGAACAATGCACAGAAGGCTACGCCTGGAACCATGAGAATGTGCGCTGGTGCGGGAGCAATTGCGCCGAATCTGATTTGACCACCATTTGCGTATTGCTTATCAGCATATGAAATCAAAATTATTCTCAGAATATCGGTTCTCTGCCACCACTGAGAATATCCCATCCAGGAGACAACAGTATTCTGCACCTCTCGATGGCACTTATATTGTTGACGAAGGACTGAACCGTGATTGAAACGAAACAGAAGCATGGAGTCAGGAATAAGCACGATATTCTGTTTTCTTCTCAGATCGGAAACATTTGGACACCAGAGTAACTCTGATCTCACTCTCTCATTAGTGGCACCGTCTGTTGTCGATTGGTAACTTTTAGCAATGCAGAACAAGAAATCGAACGGACTGGTGCTGGAATATTGACATCAGCTAGAACGTAAAATCCGTTATTCGATTTTTCCATCATATTTTTTTTACTTGGTATTTGTTCCTAAGTTCTGCGATTTCCGTTATGCTAGGCTTTCTGCAGATTCTTCGCTATCGCATGAAAGCCTCATCGAAGCTCGAGAAGGACTATGCAGTTAAAATGGAATTTTTTTTCCAGGGTCATTCAATGTACGTATACATTTATTTCCCGCCCAGTGGAAGACGATGAGGGAGATCCACTCCGCCCTGCGTTCTTCGGGGGCAAAAATGAGACAAGCGCAAGAGAGAAAAGTGCAGTCACCGGGTGTGCACGCCAAACCGGAATCAGAAACTGGGATTTGCAAAAATCTGCCATCGAGGAGGCTGCGTCACGTCCAGCAGGTATTGCTCGCAATTTTTCCCTTTCGACCTGAAAGAAAAAGACAAACAAATTAAAAGCGATATAAACTTTGTATATATAATTTATAATAGCATCTCCATCACACTCCCCACATCTCCATCAGATCACGACGAAAAACAGGCCCAACCCCAACTCCGGAATAAATATTTACAAAATTAAATAAATGAAAAAAAAAAATCGCTTAATTAATTCCGGCCTCACCCGCTTGGCTTGAGGCACCTAACGACGGGATGATCGAGCCGGAAGCACGACATCTCCCCGATGTTGAAGAACAGCCTGCCCACCGTCTCGCTGGACATGGACCCCACGCCGTCGAGGCACGCCTTGAAGTGCACGTCGCACAGGCAGTGTGACCTGCGATAATTTTTCTTAAAAGTCACCATCGCAACAATCGCATGATTTCCATTTCTGCTGTCTTCTGAACCAAATTTGCTTCGCGCCTATTGGAGTGTACTGCTTTTGATGCGTTGCTAATTTTCTAATTTCATTAAATATTTAAAGTTAATTTCATTTTATGGTCTTACAATTTTTTTGTTACATATTAAAAATTTCGTCCCTTCTGCCCACCCACGAAGTCCAGCCAACAGGATTCCACGAAGGAACCACCAAGTAAATAGAAACATATTTACATGCTTGGATAATGTTTTTCTGGATTTGCATGTGAGGACGAAAATTAATAGGGAATTAGCTAGGAAATTTCATTAAAGAACCATGAAGAAAGAGGTCAAGAATAGAAATGGAATATTTAATGACTCAGACCCCTTACCGATTGTCCTCAATGGGAGTCAAATGGAATGGTCTCTCATCAAAGTAGTCATAATTTAATTGTCTGCAGTGATGTGTTTTCCCAATATTTTTCGAGTGCTCCGTTCCGCTATTTAGCCATGAATGTTGTTCCAAGTACCACATTAAGTCACCAAATTAAGGGAGGAGGGGGGAGGAACAAAGAAAGCTTAAAACAAGCTGAAACGCTATCCGGCGTGCTTCGCGCGTAGGGGCTGGGTAGAAATTCACGGCGTCCTTGGTCAAACGCGCACGCGCCGGGTCGCACTCACAGCGTGAAGGGCGAGTCGTTCGTGAGGTTCATGACGGGGCTGTGCTCCCCGGCCGCGAGGGACAGGGGGCAGAGGTCGTGCGTGCGGCAGCACGCGTCCGTGCGTGCGTACGAGCCCAGGTCGTGAATTTCGGAGGCCGTGTTGCCCGGGCCGCACCATTTCGTGCCTGCGACGAAACGGACATTTAAAAAATATTGATATTACTCAAAATCGGTAACAAAAGTCAATGCTGTATATCTCCAAAGAAAGCAGTTTTTTTTTAAATCGAAATTCTAAATTATTTCGTGGCGATATCAATTACAATTTCATTGTAATTGTTCGATTCTAAATTAAATTGCTTCAGGAAAAACTAGATCTGGGGATTTTCTTAGGCTCTTTGGTGAATGAGGATTTTTTTCTATAAAAAGTCGGCTTTCTTTGGCAACCTAGCTATTTTTTCGTGCCACAGACCGAACTCAGAATTTTTGTTGAATCATTCATAATCATTGCGTGTGATTTTCGACTGGGATTCATATGCAAGAGAGACCCTCAGATAGCTTTGCAAAATGGTTCACTGCCTGCCGCGTTACGATATTGCTTGACACTTTCCCGTTTCCCTCCTCACATACTATTTGGAGGAGGGAAGAAGGGAGGGAGGGAGGGAGGAAGGAAGGAAGAAAGGAAGAAGGGAGAGAGGAAGGTAAAAGGGAAGGAGGTGCGGGAAATTGGGTGTAACAAGGCAAAGCGAAAAGGGGCCGCTTCCATGGATATTTTTTATAATGAGTTCAAACATGCGAGATCTGTATGATGCACATCGTTAAGATTATTTGACATGGGTGCGTATCCTGGGAGGGGATAGGATGTGAATGTGAGGATGATGTGAAACGTGGATGAGGGACGGGCCGGCACCTCACCTGGGAAGGTGACGCGGTTCGAGATGTCGTCCGTTTCGGGTTTGGACTTCCTCCTCATCCTCCTCTCGCACTCGTCCAAAAGGAGGTCGAAATTAGTATCGTCCTCCATCACCATTGGCTTTGTGCCGGCTCTTGCCAGGGCTCGGATCACATCCTCGCTGCAACATACCAGGATGTAAAATATTCCAGGAGGCACAAAATTCCTGGATGCGAAAATTCCAGGACATGCGGCATATATTTTGTTTTACTATGATCGCGCCTTCGGCGCTCCATTATGTAGAATAGTAATTAAATCATTCATTCACTTTCGAAGTTGCAAAAACGTGTCGAGATTTCTATCGAAATCATTACTCCGATGATTCTTGTGCGCCTAACTTGAAGTCTCATGTGCCCCTTCTTCTCGAAGGGGAAAAAAAAAAATCTGGAAATACTTCCCCCCCCCCATTATCCGCCCTGAGGGGAAATACTTCAAAAGTAGGTTTTTTTCTTTACTTAGCTATCCATCAGGTACGGGAAAATGACCCTCAAAATTACGATTACTGAATTATATACGAAGTATACATGGAATTTATTGATTATTGCCGAATGTTTAGGAAAACCCCGTATATTCGGGCACGCGTAGTGCTAAGATGGCGCACGGTCGGATCTGTCGGTTGAAACCCGATTTCGCTCGGAACCGCGGCGCATCTGGATCGACAGGTGGCGAGTCGGGCGCCGCATCTGAGAGACTCCGGAAAAGAATCTCAAAACTCGGTTGGCTGTGGGCCGGTCGACTGAGGCCCGTTTGGCTGTGGGCCGTTCGGTTGCGTCTGTTCGGTTGCGACGATCATTCTGCAAAGATTTCACTTTACTTGCAGCCCTTTAATAGATGGCTTTTTCCTTTTTCGGCAGAAAAAATCTGTTAGGTTTCACTTACGTCCTAGAACACAGATCAATCGGAAAACATTCTTTTAAAATCAAATTTGGAAGCAGAAGGCCCGAAAATGTCATTGTTGCACATTTGCTACAAACAGCATTTTCAGCTTTCTAACCCATGCTGCAAGGACGTTAGAGAGTTCAGTCGGTCCGTCAGCATTCGTATATACCTCAATGCAAAAGAAATGTAAAAATACGGATGAGCCTGGACACTGGATTAGCTTAAGGTCTAAGATAATTCCACGAAAACGCCAATCTGTCACACGACCAAGGCAGGTGTTTTTAACTTGCTTGCCACCAGGAGTGTTATGGCACCTTGCGGCCGCATGGTTGCTAGGTATAAGGACCGGACTGTTGCACATCTGCAACGAACCGATTTACCACAGGAAATCGCTACNATGGCGCACGGTCGGATCTGTCGGTTGAAACCCGATTTCGCTCGGAACCGCGGCGCATCTGGATCGACAGGTGGCGAGTCGGGCGCCGCATCTGAGAGACTCCGGAAAAGAATCTCAAAACTCGGTTGGCTGTGGGCCGGTCGACTGAGGCCCGTTTGGCTGTGGGCCGTTCGGTTGCGTCTGTTCGGTTGCGACGATCATTCTGCAAAGATTTCACTTTACTTGCAGCCCTTTAATAGATGGCTTTTTCCTTTTTCGGCAGAAAAAATCTGTTAGGTTTCACTTACGTCCTAGAACACAGATCAATCGGAAAACATTCTTTTAAAATCAAATTTGGAAGCAGAAGGCCCGAAAATGTCATTGTTGCACATTTGCTACAAACAGCATTTTCAGCATTCTAACTCATGCTGCAAAGACGTTAGAGAGTTCAGTCGGTCTGTCAGCATTCGTATATACCTCAATGCAAAATAAATGTAAAAATACGGATGAGCCTGGACACTGGATTAGCTTAAGGTCTAAGATAATTCCACGAAAACGCCAATCTGTCACACGACCAAGGCAGGTGTTTTTAACTTGCTTGCCACCAGGAGTGTTATGGCACCTTGCGGCCGCATGGTTGCTAGGTATAAGGACCGGACTGTTGCACATCTGCAACGAACCGATTTACCACAGGAAATCGCTACCTGCGAATTCTGAAAAATGTGTATTTGTTATGTATCAAAATTTGCTACGTCATGCATTAAAGGGTTAAACATATGATGGGACTAAATTTCAGAGATATTCAATCGACAGGGACTCCATATTCTAGTTCGTCTCATCGTTTTCACTTAATTCCGTTCGTACCCACTTTTTTCAGTTGTTCTTTAGAACAATGACTTATAAACATGAATTATGCTCTAGCTGCATGAACTCACCGCCGATCGTACACGAAGCACCCCTCGCCATCCACCGGGAAGTGCACGAGCCGTGCCCCGAGCCCATCCAGCACGAACTCCTCGGGCCTCGCCGGGAACTCGCTCGGCGCCGCGGGGCGGGGGAGCGGGACCTGCTCCACCCGGGCTGTCACCTCCTCGTGGTCCCGCCGCTCCTCCCTCCACGCCGAGTAGAAGGAAGCGGACAGTGGACACCGTAAAATACCCGAGGCAACAAAGAGACTCCTTGGAATTCACATCTTTTTAGGGTTTGAGTCGGTCGAAATTATTGACGAATTTCCTCGGGAATAAAAGTATTTAAATGTACGAGCACCTCGTCGGTATTTTAGAGAAAGTGTGCGTTTTATTGGCTGCTAATAGCATATTGATTCATTAAATTACTTGCATTGAAATCTGGCTATTTATATTATTATATACCATTAAGCGCATTATAAAGGGAAAGTTAAAAACTGGGATGAATATCCCTGATCGCCGAAATCTTGCGGGCCAAATCAGCACGGAAACGTCCAGTCCGGCCGTCAATTACCATGATTAAACCGTGAAAGTTTCTAAATGGACTTCGCGATACTCACTTCTCGGACTGTTCGATGGCACTCGAATCAGGACTGACTGGGACACAATAGAGCATTGCAGGCAAAATATTCCCTTTCCACCTCCCCCTCACTACTAACGCGGACGTAAGGAGGGGAGGGAGGCGCTGGAACCGTATGTTAAGCGGGCACTAGTAAATGACTAGCTGGCCTTTTAATGCAGTATCCGGTACATGCCCCAACTCTCCCTAAATTGGCCAAGGCCATCATATGTTCCCTTTCAAAGAAGGGGAGGGGAACCCGCGAGTAGAGCCCATATGTTGGAAAACGAACTACTTGAGACATTTTTACATAGCAAAACTGATTCAAAAAGTGACTCGGAGTTAGGGAAGTGTGAGACAACCTCGAGAATGACGCTTAAAATTCTCTAATTCTCTCATTCGTCCCCACCCGCGACAAATACTCATTGTCACTAAAAGGTGCCGCAGGGAATTATTGAAAGGCTTCTCCTGGCTCGGTCAGACGCACTTCGTCTCTGTGCAATGCTTACATTCCGATGTAAAATGAATATAAGAGACGTTACCTGGCCGGAATGTGGGGATGTCGCGGCGGGGAGAGCGAGGCCAGACACCATTCTGCGCCTGCAGCGTCCCCCATCCACGCGCGCGTCTGCTCTCCGCGGAGCCTCCTGCATCCGAGCGCTTCCCGGCCATGCGCTCCCATCTGTGTGTCTGCCTTGCACATCGATCCCTTCCGGCTCTGCCTCATCCAAGAATTTTCCTCAGAGTTTCGGGGGGGATCCTCTGCGAGATCGAGATGCATGAATTTTCGCTGCGCATTTTAGCACGTTCGTCCGCCTTCAAGTGCGTGTGTCTGTGAGGAGTTGGGTCGATCTCGAAAACAGGAAATACTGAACTTCGCGGTCACTTCGTTAACTGTTAACGTTGAAAATCTTTAATTTGGAGACATCCGAAATCCCGAAATCTTCGATGACGGTTTTCCACGATACGTCCGAAGAGGATGGAAGTAGGAGTACGAACGACACTCCCAAAAATCAAAGGAAACAGTCGTTTTATAAGGGAAAGGTGGAGGGGGAGTGATGATTGCGCCTGCATTCCTCCCCTCCCTCCGCGACCTTGGCATACAATTCGCCCGTGATCATTTACTGATCGACCGGAAAATTACGTCATAGGCCAACATGCCCCAGCTCCCACTAAATTGGCCAAGGCCATCATATGTTCCCTTTCAAAGAAGGGGAGGGGAACCCACGAGTAGAGCCCATATGTTGGAAAACGAACTACTTGAGACATTTTTACATAGCAAAACTGATTCAAAAAGTGACTCGGAGTTAGGGAAGTGTGAGACAACCTCGAGAATGATGCTTAAAATTCTTTAATTCTCTCATTCATCCCCACCCGCGACAAATACTCATTGTCACTAAAAGGTGCAGCACGGAATTATTGAAAGGCTTCTCCTGGCTCGGTCAGACGCACTTCGTCTTTGTGCAATGTAAATTCCGATGTAAAATGAATATAAGAGACTTTACCTGGCCGGAATGTGGGGATGTCGCGGCGGGGAGAGCGAGGCCAGACACCATTCTGCGCCTGCAGCGTCCCCCATCCACGCGCGCGTCTGCTCTCCGGGGAGCCTCCTGCATCCGAGCGCTTCCCGGCCATGCGCTCCCATCTGTGTGTCTGCGTTGCACATCGATCCCTTCCGGCTCTGCCTCATCCAAGAATTTTCCTCAGAGTTTCGGGGGGAGGGGGGGGGGGATCCTCTGCGAGATCGAGTTGCATGAATTTTCACGTTCGTCCGCCAACAAGTGCGTGTGTCGGTGAGGAGTTGGGTCGATCTCGAAAACGTAGGAAATACTGAACTTCGCGGTCACTTCGTTAACTGTGAACGTTGAAAATCTTTAATTTGGAGACATCCGAAATCCCGAAATCTTCGATGACGGTTTTCCACGATACGTCCGAAGAGGATGGAAGTAGGAGTACGAACGACACTCCCAAAAATCAAAGGAAACAGTTTTCGGGACGAAAGAATCTGATTGAAACGTATCGCAGGAAGTAATGGCTTCCGTTTGTCCCTTTCCTGCGCGAGCCATCAGTATATAAAAGCAGGGCAATCTGCAATATGTAATCATTTCCCTCTTACATATAGTAGGTTTGGGCTAAGAAGATAAGGGCATGTAATTAATTGCATTAATTCATTACGGGCAAATATTCCCACCGGTCTCTAGTGTATGAATGCACCGACAACAAAAGAGGACGCGAGTATCTTGATGGCCCGTTATTCACGAGCCGACAATCACTACAGCCCATGCTTCAAGTCGGAGACGGAGCGGCCATTCAGGATGAGTCCATCTCCGCCTTTTCGAGGGGGAAGGTCTGCTCCCGAAGTGTCAATAAAAAAGTGTCATATCGATTTCGCCTTGAAGATTCAGTCGTCACTCGAAGACGTCCTTCAACAGCAATGGCCGTCTTAAGGGGACGCAGTACCTTTTGGTTTGGACTGGCTGAAAAAAAAACGCTCTTGGATTCCTAAACGCTTAGTCCAATACATATAAACCGTATATAATTTTCTTCCACTCATTGATCTGTTTCTATTTATGGTATTTATTAGTACCGCACCAAGTACGAACTAGTACTTGGTCTCAGGTTTTTTCGAAAACGGCAAGTTAATTAGCGAAAGTGGTCCTTTTCAACCGCAAAAATATGATTTCCTTAGAAAATGGGGGAGGGCATTCAATGGAAAGTACTGTAATATGGATTTGATGGATTTGATACTAGCCCACGAAAGACGCAGGGTCTAGTGCTACGTATGTCGTGTAAGCATCAGCAGAGAGGTCTTTTCGGAGTTGAGGCTGTTTGGATGCCTCCTCACAAGGGAGGAAAGCCACTAGTCAGTTAGCCATAGTCTACAGCACAACAGCGCACATTCCCTTGGTTCCAAACGTAGGCATATGTTTCTTCCATCAAATGATTATATTTCATGAAGGAACGGCTTGTTAATATCAAATTTGGCATAGTTAGAACGGGCATAAAAAAAACACGTGGAATCAAGTATTAAAACTACGAGTTCCAAGCATGGCAAGTGTAGATAAATTCCACTGAACTTAATCCAGCTGTTTAGAAAAAAAAAAACAGAATATCGTGCTTATTCCTGGCTCCATGCTTCTGTTTCGTTCCTGGGATGTGTATTCTCGTTTCAATCAGGGGTTCATTCCTTCGTCAACAAGATACAAATTCCGGTTGTCT